GGTATTTTTGAATTGCATATACTAGTTGCCTTAATGACTATAATCAATGATAAGGAATGCTGGGAGTTGTACTCTAACAACCTCTAGAGGGCTGCATCTTTCCCACTCTTAAATTTATGAAACAGTAGCTGTAAAGTAGCACTTTTACTCTACATAGCTGTCAAATTGCAAAGCAACAGCAGAGGGTGCTCTTGCAGGAGATTGCATTCTGGATTTTTAATGTTCCAATAAGGATGTGTATATTTGAAAATATTTATCCAATGACATTTTATCATTTCTCATGTGAAAAAGAGCGAAGCTCATAGGCAGTTAAATTATAATATAGAACAGTCTGTATACCACGGCATTCAAAATGTACAAGTTATTTTCAGAATAATTCTCCCATTTGAAATAACAGATGCTCTCCTTTCATTCCGCTTACAAGAAACTCAGGCTGAGCATAGTATTGGAGGCATTCAAAAGAATGAATGGTATTGGAATTCTATGGGAAGGACAAAAATAATCTCTAAAATAAGAAAAAATCTCAGCGGAAAGGTCTAAACTAGCAAGTCGGGCCCTCTCATAATACTTGTAGTAGCAAAGAGATGTGTGCACAAGATGGCAAATATAGTGCTTCCCCCCACCCCACAACTGTGGGGTATACATCCTTGTGGATAATATCAAATTTTATTGAAATCAGTGACTTTTGCCAAAAGTTATTACGAGAGTCTTTCTGGAGGACCTAGAAATTTGCTACATTCTTAAGCAAGACTCTGAGGAAACCTCCAGCAGAAGCAGGCCAAAGAATCACATGGAGGACAAAGAAAATTCCTAGAGAGAACATATTTTGGCAGATGTGGGTAAGTGGAACTGTGAGTACCAGTACCACTGGTACAAGGACTGAACTGTATTATAACAGCAACAATATAACAGTATCCACCTCACTTTCTGAGCAAGTTCACCCATGCTTAATGTTTTCAGTACTTCAGAGTGTAGTATCAAGTGGTGATTACTTATACTTGAGCTCAAGAACTCAGCAAAGCAAGTAGGATGTATTATTTCTGGAACTCCCATAATGAGATCCTCCTTTCAATGAGGAATGTGAATTTGCCATTGCAGTGTTCCCTCACTTATCGCGGAGGTTCCGTTCCAGGACCCGCCGTGATAAATGAAAATCCGTGAAATAGGGATGTCTGGCTCCCCCTCCCCACCTCCTGCTACTCCTCTTATCCCCTCTATCCTAAATCACCAGTGCTTTGACGCAAGGCCCCTGAGGCCACTGAGGAAAGACTGGACCTGGCCCTCAGGCAGGGAGGAAGGGAAAGAGTGAACCTGACTGGCTGAGGCCTTCTTTGCAGAAGATGGCCCTTGCCCTCCCGACTCTATCCCCGACCCTGTCCCCTCCACCTCAAGCACCTTTGGGCCTCAGGCCCGCCTCTTTGGGGACCAGCTGGTTCTCCTCACTGGGCACCATGGCACAGGCAGGCTGGGAGGCGGATGGGGGGGGGGGAGAGCTCGCCGGAGTAGGAAGAAGGCACGGACAAGAGTTTCCCTTGCTCTCGGTGGTGGCCTCCTTTCCTCCTCCTCTTTCCCTGACTGCAATGCCTCAGCGCCCTTCCTCCGCCAGTGCCAATCAATGACCGGGCAGCACTAATAAATTCATATTTATTAAAAAATACATTATTTTTTAAAAAACGTGAAATAGCGAGTCTGCATAAAGTGAACCGTGAAGTGGCGAGGGAACACTGTACACTATATTTTTTGGGATTCTGTCTGTTTCCATTATCCCAAAGGCCAAAGTGGTACAAATAGAATGTCAAAATCTCTAGTGTTTTGGTTTTTTCCCCTTCTTCAAGAGATCCTTGCACTTATGGAGCACCTATGTACACAAGATGAATATTAGCAGCCTGGAAGGAATTCCACATTTCAACCATGTTTTATATTCTTGCTGAGAAGGGAAATTACCTAAGAAGACAACTCCTCTGATCAACTATGGATAGCCTCTACTAGAAGTGCATTATTGCTTAGAAAGGCAACAGTATCATATTCTTTTCTTTTCTTCTTTTTGTGCCAGCTAATATACATCCATACATATTCATATACCCATGCACATTCTTCCTGGTTTCTGTACTATTTTCCATGTGGACATCACCCAGAGTGGAATTTGCTCAACTCAAATATGGCTAGGCTCTTTAACGCTTTCTAACACAGGGATGGGCAACTATGATGTGTCCATGATCCAATCTTCTATCCTGGGGACTTCTGGGAGGAGGACAACACAAAAGGACAAAATGAAATTAATCAGGGCTGGTTGAATATTCACTCATGGTTTTGAAAAAGGGGGAAGATTTATGAATGACACAGTGCAACACCTCATTCCCAATATAACCCATTTAAAAGTAAAACCAACCGCTGCCAGTAAATGCAAGTCATCTTTCTTTTAGCCAAGAAAAGGGTTATCTAGATAGCCTGGGGGAAGTGACATCCACAAAAAGTAGTCTTGCAGGATTGCATGATGTCTCAATGCCATATTTATCTACGCATCTATTAAAATATACTGCTGTGTACCATCAGGTTAATTTTGACTTGTGACTTTGACTTGTGACTTTGAGGATGGGGATTCTGGTGTTCCTCCTGATGGGGCTGAGTATTCTGGGATTGTTAGGCCAGCAGGGATGTTCCGTTAGAGACAGATTCACAGGCTGACAGGCCTGAGCTAGCTTTCCCAAGAGAACCAAGGTTGGAATTTGATTGGAATGTCTTAATTGAAGATGTAGAGCCTGCGTTAGATAGAAGGAAGTAAATTTGTCAGCAGAGACAGGTGGCCGAAGGGAGGCACCGTTCTCAGAGACTGTTGTCTAAGAGAGGCCCTCCTCAGAGTTCTCAAGGAAAAAGACATAGTTTCTTAAGGATAAAAGAGAGCGGTTTTGGAATGATCTTTTAGAGGAATCAACATCTAAGTAAAGGGAACAAGCCAAGATTAGTGGATTCAAGCCTTGGTTTTTCCTATGTGGTTTTTTAATGTTTTGAATATGAAGTGTTTTTCATGGTTTCTCGTATTGCTTCTTCTTGGATTGCTCCCAGAATCAAGTGGACTTATGTAATTTCTTGGATCTTTGCCATGCTAGTCATGTACCCTTGATCCTCAGGATTGTTATGCTTGCCAAGACACCAGTTTAAAGGTTTTGTCTGTACCTTGGTCTTCTGGATTATTGACTTCAGCTTTTTAGATGACTGTTTTTACATGGGCTATAATCTGTATTACTTTGAAAGACTTTTATTCTTTTTGCTTTAATAAACTGCTTTGCTTATATACTGAACTCTGGAGTGTGAGATTGGTTCAGAGGTGCCTTTCCAGCCTTGGTGTGTGACACTGGGCTGCATGGCCACCTTTGGGAAGCATTCTTTCCTGACGTTTTGCCCATATCTATGGCACGCATCCTCAGGGGTTGTGAGGTTTGTTGGAAACTAGGCAAGTGGGGTTTATATATCTGTGGAATGTCCAAGGTGGGAGAATGGCATGCAGCTGTGGACAAGCCTACATAGGAACCACCAAACACAGCACCCAAACACGAATTTTGGTGGCGGTGGTACTGAAATTAGGGTGCGTCTTACAATCAATGGTGACTTACAATTGAAAAAATATGGTATATATTTTAAAGTCTTAAGAAAGGTGTGTGGGGGAGAGAGCCCCTGATTCTGGTCACTCTCACAAGAACTGGAAAAGGTGAAGCAGAAACCTGCACATGCGGATGAAATGTCAAATAAGACATCATCATAATGTATATACTGATTTACATAAATCCAACTTAACAAAGCTACAGAACCTATCTTGTTCCTAACTTGGGGACTGCCAGTACTACATTTCAATTGTAATCTACTATGGATTGTAATTTGCATCCTACTTTCAGTATGACCACAACTAAGAAAGATACACACACCTGGGATCTGAAAACACCATTTTTATAAATGTTTATATAGGAAAAAAGTGGGAATGGAAGAAATACAGTATGATAATATTTCTATTTTAATATGCCAATACAGGCATGGGCAAACTCCAGCCCTCTGGGTGTTTTGGACTACAACACCCACAATTCCTAACAGCTTAATGGCTTGTGAAAGGCTTTCATGGCCAAAATCACTGGGTTGCTGTGAGTTTTCTGGGCTGTATGGCCATGTTCCAGAAACCTTCTCTCCTGATGTTTTGCCCACATCTATGGCAGGCATCCCCACAACCTCAGAGGATACCTGCCATAGATGTGGGCAAAACATCAGGAGAGAAAGCTTCTGGAACATGGTCATACAGCCCGGAAAACTCACAGCAACCCAGCCTACCGGCTGTTGGGAATGGTGGGAGTTGCAGTCTGGAAGGCCGAAGTTTGCCCATGCCTGTGCTAACTAACAGAGCTTCAATATGAGGAGGGGGGGGGAGAGCTAGTGCTTCCTGGCATGGGGCTTGAAAGCAAGGCGGGGCTTTGAATCCCCTCGGAGACTAAACTTGGGCTGTGGTTCCCCTTCCCGCCTGGCCTGAAGAGGGGGACTTGAGGGGGGGGCTTGGGGGGGGGGGAGGAGCTTGGGGGTTCCTCCACCCACAAAAAAAAAAAAAAAAAAAAAAACAGCTTGGGGCGCCCCCAGGGCTGCCTTCCTGCGTATGGCTGGGGAGAGGCGGGCGGAGAGGCTGGGGGGCTGTCCCTCTTCGGCTCCCTCCACCCCTCCTCCCCTCCTGCGCGGGGAAAAGGCCAGCGAGGCTCCCAGAGAGACCGCAGCTCCTGCTGTTGGCGCGGCGTCGCAGCGAGGCTGGTGTTTACCTGCTGCAAGCCTCTCTCTCAATCGCTCTCTCCCACACTGCCTCTTGCGCTGCTTGGAGCTCAAGGAGAGGAGCGAGGGGCGCTCTCGCCTGCCTCTGCATCGGCAGCTGGGGCAGGAGGAGGAGGAGGAGGAGGGAGAGAAGAAGAGGAGGAGGAGGAGGAGGAAAACAAGCCTGGGTCGCCTCTCCTCCTCTCTCCCCCCTTTCATTCCCCAATGCCCTCGCTGCCACAAAGCGCGCGCTGAAAGGCGCCCGGGCCCCGCAGGCAGGGCTAGTGCTGCAAAGCCGAGAGAGGGACCATGGCCAGGAAAGGGGACCCCGCCGCTTCGCCTTACGGTAAGCTCCTGAGGGAAGGGGAAGGGGAAGGGAAGGGGAAGGGAGGAAAGAAGGGAAGGGGAAGGTAGGGGAAGGGAAGGGGAAGGGGAAGAAAGAGAAGCGAAAGGAAGGAAGGAAGGAAGGGAAGAGAAGAAGGGGAAGGGAAGAGAAGGGAAGGGGAAGGGAAGAGAAGAAGAAGGGGAGGGAAAGGAAGGATGGATGGAAGGAAGAAGGGAAGGAGGGAAGGGAAGAGAGGGAAGGGGAAGGGAAGGAACGATGGAAGGAAAAAGGGAAGGAAGGAAAGAGGACTGGGCTGGGCTGGCGAGGAGCTGGAGCAGAGCAAGGGAGGCAGCCCGCTCTTCTCCGGATAGGAGCCGGGTCTCTCCCTCGCCCCTTCCCCGCCTGGCCTGCCGACGGAGTTTGTTCCCTTCTGGGCAGGAGAGCGAGCCCGGTCCCCTTGCCTGCCTTTTGCGTGGCTCAGCGGACCCCCTTCCTGCCAGCTTTTGGGGGCCTTGCCTCTCCTTTCCGCCTTCCTTTCTCCAGCCCAGCGCGGCTTCTTGCTGCTGCTGCTGCTGCTGCGTCCTTGAGGAGGTCGGAAAGTTGGGGCTGAAGCGCAGGGAAGGGGACGGCGGAGAAGGGGACTGTTTGGGGGAGAGGCCGCCTGTTCGCCCTCCTTGCACCAGCCGCCGCTTTCACTCTCAGGGGAAAGGGGAGCCAAAGGTTCCTCTCGGCGGCTTTGTCTGCCTCCAGGGGGAAAGGAGGGGGGTGCCTTGTTTTCGGGTTCCGGCCACGAGGTGGGATGGAGGCCCCAGGATGAAGGCTTTGCGGAGAGGAGGCACGCTGCCTGGCGTCCCAGGAGGAGGACCTCTCCTTTCCTGAGCCGGGAATGTGCCCCTTGGCCACGTCCTGGGAAGACCCCCCCCCCTGTCGAATCCATGCAGTTGCTCGCTCTGGGACTGCCATGTCTCGATGCTATCGAAGCGTGGGATTTGTAGTTTCACGGGGTCGTTATTTAGCCTTCTCTGGAGAAGGGCGCAAAGGGTGATGTTGGGATTGAACCTTATGCTGTACGATAGGCCTGGGCAAACTTGGACCCTCCAGGTGTTTTGGACGTCAACTCCCACCATTCCTAACAGCCTCAGGCCCTTTCCTTTTCGGCTGAGGGGGAAAAGGAACGGACCTGAGGCTGTTAGGAATGGTGGGAGTTGAAGTCCAAAGCACCTGGAGGGTCCAAGTCTGCCCCTGCCTACTGTAGAATGGATGCATCTTGGCCCCACTTGAACTGTCCTGGCTCAATGCTGGTATGCAATCCTTGGGAGCAGTGCTGTCCAACTTGGGGGGCTTCCCGTTGTTTTGGACTTCAGCTCCCAGGATTCCTGGCCATCGGACAAGCTGGCTAGGGCTTCTGGGAGCTGTAAACCCCAATGTCTGGAGGGCCACACGCTGGACATCATTGTTTCCGAGGGTCTTTGCCAAGAGTGCAGACGCCTCACCAAACTTCAAGCCCCCCCCCCCCCCGTGGCGCAGTGGGTTAAACCCTTGAGCCGGCAGGACTGAAGACCGACAGGTCAGGGGTTCGGATCTCGGGAGAGCAGGTTGAGCTCCCTCTGTCAGCTCCAGCTCCTCATGCGGGGACATGAGAGAAGCATTCCTTGCAGACGGCCAATTTTCTGACACCAGAAGCGACTTGCAGTTTCTCAAGTCGCTCCTGACACGAGAAAAAACCCAAAACAAAACTGCAAAGGCCTGGATTCCACAGCATTGAGTCCTGGGAGCAAAAGTGGTATGTATTCCAAACCACGTTCACGGGGGAGCGGGACTTCAGTGGGTCAGGGAGTCCCGGGTGGGAAAATCTGGGTGGGAACTTGGCGCCGACGTGAAATAGGGTGAGTGGATTTCTTCCAGGTTGGTAGGCTTCGAAGCCAGGGAGCCAAGGAGGGTGGGATGCCTTGGTTGGCTGGCGAGCCGTGTTAGGAGAGTTGGGTTGCTGTGTCTCGCTCGTGAGGCTGAGGAATTGGAGCTCCCCGAGCATCCGAGACTGGAGTCCGCGGTGCAGTGCAAAGGAGGGAGGGAGGGAGAGCCTGATAGGCGCAGGCATCTGGTGATGCTCAGCCAAGAGCCAATGGATCAAGACTCTGTGCGATGCAGGGGCGGGCCTCGGCATTTTTAGGGACTCCTGACTGCCTGGGATAGTGATAGTGGGGCAGAAAACAATCCTTGGAGACAACTTTCCTGCATCTCTAAGCACAGTGACGACTTGAATGTAGCTATTAATGGGGGTTGTGGTTCTGAAGGAAGAAATATATTCCTAAATGCCATCTGAAGCATATTTGTGCTACTGCTTGGAGTGTAGCCATGCCACAGTGTTTCTTAACCTTCCTAATGCCCTGACCTCTTAATCCAGTTCCTCATGTTGTGGCCACCTTCCAACCATAAAACTATTTTCGTTGCTATTTCATCACTGTAATTTTGCTACTATTATGAATCATAATGTAAATACCTGATATGCATTTACATTGACGGGACCAAATTTGGCACAAATACCCCATACGCCCAAATTTGAATACTGGTGGGGTTGGGAGGGATTGATTTCGTCATTTTGGACTTGTACTTGCTGGGATTTATAGTTCACCTACAATCAAAGAGCATTGTGAACTCCACCAACAATGGAATTGAACCAAACTTGGCACACACAACTCCAACAGAAAATACTGAAAGGGTTTGGTGGACAAACGATGATGGATCTGGACCAAACTTGGCACGAATACTCAATATGCCCAAATGTGAACACTGGTGGAGTTTGGGGAAAATAGACCTAGACATTTGGGAGTTGTAGTTGCTTGATTGTTCAACTACAGTTCTGAACCCCACCAATGATAGAATTGGGCTGAAACTTCCCACATAGAACTCCCATGACCAACAGAAAATATTGTATTTTCTGAGGGTCTTTGGTGACCCCTCAGACACCCCTTCATGACCCTCCCTCAGGGGTCCTGACCCGCAGGTTGAAAAACACTGTCATACCCTCTGTGTCTGTAGAAAGAAATTAAATATAATAATATTAATAGCAACAATAACAATAAAAGAATTATAGAGATGGAAAGGACTGTATGGGCTATCTAGTGTAACCTCCTGCCTTGCAGGAAAAGCACAATCAAAGCACGCTTTTTTCATGTCAGTAGCAACTTGAGAAACTGAAAGTTGCTTCTGGTGTAAAAGAATTGGTGGTCTTCAAGAACGTTGACCAGGAGATACTCGGATGTGTTACCATCCTGTGGGAGGCTTTTCTCATGTTCCCAAAAGGAAAGATGAAGCTGCCAGATAGGAGCTCACCCTGCTCCCTGGATTTGAATTGCTGACTTTTTGGTCAGCAGTCCTGCCACCACTAGGGTTTAATCCACTGCACCACTGATTGGTGGCCATCCAGCCTCTGCTTAAAAGCCTCCAAGGAAGGAGCTTCCAGCACACTCTGAGGCAGAGAGTTCCACTGCTGAATAGCACTCACAGTCAGGAAGTTCTTCCTACTGTTCAAGTAGAATCTCCTTTCCTGTAAACTGAACCCATTGCTCAGAGTCATAGTTTCCAGGGCAGCAGAAAACAAGCCTGCTCCCTCCTCATTATGACATCTTTTCACATATTTATACATGGCTATCATGTCTTCTCACAATCTTCTCTTCTGCAAGCTAAACATACCCAGTTCTTTAAGACGCTCCATAGGGCCTGGCCTCCAGACCTTTGATCATTTTAGTTGCCCTCCTCTGGACACATTCCAACTTGTCAATATCTCTTCTAAATTGTGGTGCCTAGAATTGGACACAGTATTCCAGGTGAGGAAATGTACTACCCATTTCTCCCTGAGACTCAAGGCAGGTCACAACATCATTACAACAAAAGATCAAAAAACGATTAGAACAAGTTCAAATCCACTGATGAAATGCAGATTAAAATTCACAAGGTATGCCAAAAGGTATGCCCTTCAGTTGTGTCTTAAATATCTATCTACGAAATGTCCACTAAAACTCACAGCTTGATTCATTTCTTATTTTGTTCCTATCTCAGCTGTTGAAGTTTGGGGAAAATAGACTTTGACATTTGGGAGTTGTAGTTGTTGGGATTTATAGTTCATCTACAATCAAAGAGCATTCTGAACCCCACCAACGATAAAATTGGGCCAAACTTCCCAGACAAAACCCCATGCTTTGAAGGGACTTGCTTGCTTGCTCACACGCTCTCCCTTGCCTGCACATGCACATCATGATGCCATGCACTGAACAAGGCTGCTCTCCCCTCTGCCTGGAGTCTCAGAAACAGCTCTCCCCTTGACTGAGAGGCCAGCCAATCACAGTGGAGGAGGGCTTTTGGTGGGAGGATTTGCTGCCTGTTTCCAAAAGGAAGAGAACAGCCGGAGAGATTGTCAGTCTACTCTGCCAAAGGGGTTCCTAAGACCATCAGAAATAGATGTTTTCTGATAGTCTTTGGTGACTCCTTTGAAACCTCCGCATGACCCCACCAGGAGTCCCGAACCCAAGATTGAGAAACGCTGCTCTAGAGCAGCACAAAATAAGCTTCGGTAAAACATCCTTTCAAATATTTTAAAATTTATATCTTATCCCCTCTTGATCTTCTCCAATATAAGCATACTCAGCTCCCTAAACCGCTCGTTGTAAGACTTCACTTTCCAGCCTTTGACCATTTTGATTGTCCTTATCTGGACACATTGCAGTAATGGTGGAAGTGTACTTATTAACTCTGTATGTGTGGGTAAAGTGTTGAGGAGGGACCTGCTTAATTACATCAGCTTACAAAACTGCTAAAATAGCAACATTTTGTCTACAGTCACTTTGATTTTCCTTTCTCTCTGTTTCATATTCTTGAATTTTAGTGACCTTTGACTCATCTATTATGATACATGATATTGTGGTAGTTTAAATTTCTGTGTGAGGGTTTTACACTGAATTACATGGAAATAAGAATAGTACTTTATGTAAAGAAACAATTTATCTTGTTTGGACCTGTCTTAA